CTTGTTTTCTTTGTTCTTTTAGATTGAGCAGTTTTAAGTATGGTAGATTCTTCACTTCTTTTTTCCCCTCAATTGTGAAGATGTTATTTTCTTTCTTTCTTTCTTTCTTTCTTTCTTTCTTTCTTTCTTTCTTTCTTTCTTTCTTTCTTTCTTTCTTTCTTTCTTTCTTTTTCTTTCTGATTGGCACATCAACAAAAGGGGAAAGGACTGCAAATTCTTTGACTTATTTTAAAGCATAAACTAAGCTTCTCATGAAGCTAGATAGTTAAAAGCATGGTACCTCTATAAAGGGTACCAGGGAGTACCAACCCTTGGGTATTTTTATGGGGGAGGGGGAATTTAGTGTTAGATTCCTATCAGTGCCATGCCTTAGGCCCTGAATCAAGACCAATGTTTGCTGTAGCTATTGGTTTCAAATGGGAGCCAAGAGATAACTTCCCTTGGTCTGTTGGCTATTCAGTATCTCAGTGGGAATGGCCAATTCATTTGGAAGAAATGTGCTTTAGAATATTTCTTTTTCTGATATTTGTTTTATGGTATTTGGGGTTGAACTTAGGGTCTTAGGCATGCTAGGCAAGAGCTATACCAGTGAGCTATATCTCCAGTTCTTTTTATTTTGAGATGGCGTCTTGCTAAGTTGCCCAGGTTGGCCTTGAACTTGGGATTTTTTCTTTTTCTTTTTTTTTTTTTTTGTGGTGCTGGGGATTGAACCCAGGGCCTTCTGCATACAAGACAAACACTCTACTAACTGAGCTATATCCCCAAAGTTGGGATCCTTTAGCCTCAGCCTCCCAAGTTGTTGGGATTACAGTATACATCACCATGTCTAGCAATGTCTTTTTTTTTTTTTTTAACAGAACAATTGAACTGTGTTAGATTTAAAATGAATTATTCTGTGAGGATAGGGTTTTAATATTTCAGATGTCTTTTGAGTTTCCTGTTCCCTCCTTTCCTACTGTCCCTTTTCCTCTCTTGCATGCATTGTGGCTCTTTGGACATTCATCATACAATCTCATATTGCCCAAAGTTTTAAATCAATATTTAATTTTAATTTATGCTTCTGCTGATTATCATTAGATTCATTACTGGTTAATTAACTTAAATGTTGACTCCAGTAACCTCGGAATTTTTTTTTCTTTTGAATACTGTTTACTATGGTGAAATATGTATAACAAAATTTATTTTTAACTGTTCCTAAGTGTACAGTGCTAATTAACAATGTTCAGTGTGTTGTACAACCATTCCTACTGTACTTTTCTTGAATTTTTCCATCAACCCTGGCATAAATTCTGTACCTTTTAAATAATAACTCTCCTCTTCCCCTTTCCCTCAGCCCCTGGTAACCACTGTTCTACTTTCTATGAATTTTCCTAGGAATTTGCTTTTTTAAAGCTACTATACTGGTCTGTGCTTCATAATCAGCAGCAAGAAAAAATTCTCAGTGCTTTTGGATCTTGTCTCATTTGTTGAACATTCTGGTAGGCAAGGGGTAAGGGAGGAACCTCAGAATTGCTTTGAGGTTTGCTGAAAAACATGCCAACTTCAGTTTATTGGTACCCTTAGTATTGCTAATAGGGTTTTCTCTTTCTTTTGTAGGACTTGGATGTTGTTGGTGATGGTATGCAGTGCCCTCCTTCACCCTTGCTTTTTGATCCTTCATTAACCCTTGAAGATCATTCAATCAAAGAAATTGCTGAAGGCCCAGTGGATATCTTGGCAAGTGAAGAACAATCCCAATTAGCCTTCCATCATATAGTGACCTGGTCAGGCAAAGCGATCCTTGTTTGCTAACTGTACTCCAGGGAGTGTGGGTCTCATCACAAGTAGAGTATAAAGATGCCTGTCCCCAAATAGCTTTTGCTTACTGAATACCATACAAGGAAGGTACTTTTAATAAATGTCATTTTGAGGCTGGGTGTAGCTCAGTGACAAAATACTTCCTTAGAATATGTTAGGCCCTGGGTTTCATCCCCAGAATTGCAAATGAATAAATGAGGGAATGAAAGAAGCCTTTTTCTGCTTCTTAGTGCCTTTTTGCTCCAATTTTCTAGATGGACCTTAGAATAATGGTCCCTAGTTTTCATATTTTTTAAAATGAAAGGTTAAGACAAGAAATGTAAGTAAATTTTTTTCTTTCTTTCTTTTTTTTTTTTTTTTGATACTGGAGATTGAACCCAGGCGTGCTATGAGCTACATCCCAGATTTTATTTTGAGATAGGGTTTTGCTAAAGTTGCTAAGACTAACCTCGAACTTGGGATCCTACTGCTTCAGCCTTCCAAGTTACAGATGTGCACAACTATGCTTGGCTAAATTGTGCCTTTTAAGGGAGAGTTCATTAATGGAATTATTCTCATTGTAGAATAAGGACCAGTAGTGATTTGGCTTCTTTCTCTGAGGTTGGATACCAGTGGCCCTGACTGAAGACCAGCAGTTACATTATAGCTGTTGGTTTCAAGCAGAGGCCTAAAAAACTTATCTTCTATGGTTCATTGGCTGTTCTGGGACCTTAGTCGAGAATGGCTGTTTCATTTGGAAGAAACAATCCATGGTTCTCTCTTCCATTGGGAGAGCTTCAAGAATGCCAAGTAATGATTTCAGACTCTTTAAGATTAGGCAGTATTGGGAAGAGCAGCTCCCCAGAGTTGTTTTAATATACTGAATATAAATGGGAATTGATAGATTCATAATTAAGGTTTCAGAGCATTGAGAATGATTTTTTTTCCTTCATGAGACTTAAATTCTTTTTTTTTTAAATTTTATTTGTTCTTCTTAGATATACATGACAGTAGAATGTATTTTGACATATTATACATACATGGAGTATAACTTACTCTAAGTAGGATACAATTTTTGTGGTTGAACATGATGTGGAGTTAGTTATTCTGTTTGTGTATTCGTATGTGAACACAGGGAATTTATATCTGATTCATTCTCCTGTCATTCCTGATTCCCCTCCCCATCCTCCCTTCCAGTGAATGCTTTACTAATCAAAGTACCTTTATTCCTTTAATAGGGCCAGATGCAAATGGTTGGAGATGGTTACAGGTCCCAGGGATCTCGAAATTCTGAGAAAGCCTGTGCACCATTGCCTCAAAGTGGATTGGCTACTGCAAATGGAAAACCAGAATCCACTCCTAGCAGTTGACAGTTTGTTCTGGGAACCATATGACTTCCGTGGATTTCACTTTCCCATTCACATTCCCATTCAGTATCTCTGATCATCTCTCACTAAACAGGGGCAACCCAGTTGTTTTGTTCTGGGTTATAGAATGCCGTAGTTAAATAAAACCATACTTAGGGGGATGGGCCAGTAGTGTCAAAGTTGTGTTTCTTTCCACCATGGGCAAGGAAGATAGGGATTACCTATCTCTGAAATTCAGTATTTGGGACTGTGCCAAAGGGGAAAGTGATTCTTTGTAATGGGATTTCTTAAGTCACAGACAGAAATCCACATAGATGATTAGGTGAGGGTTGTTTTTATAAATGGTGCCGTTGAGATATTGGTCTCCCCAGTGCCTGGTTATCTTTATCTAAAGGCCTACAGTTTAGCTTTTCCTCATCTCCACTTAATTGAACAGTTTGCACCCTTTCTCCAGTGAACTCCCATCCTTATCCTGAGACATTTAAGGACTGGGCCCACCTTAACTATTCATCTTGCTTGTAATCTATGTAAATTTCTGCAGTGGCTATCTTATGTAAAATATAGTAAAAATTTATTGTATATAGTTTCTATTAAATGTTAAAATGTTATGAAAATGTAAAACAGTTGCGTGAATTGAATGCATGTTTTGTTTGTATTTGAATGTATGTCTTATTAGGGAGCTGTCTTTGGGAGATGGAAAATGAGGCAGGTATAGTTCTGTCCCGGGGAATAAATAAATTTTTAGTACCTCAGTTTGGTATCAAGAATAAGGTAAAAACTGGAAGTAAAGGAAAGGGGAGGAATTTCCTTATGAAAGCCAATCAGTTATAAAATATCTCCTTTTTTTTTTTTTTTTCCACTCTCTACTTAGATTCCCCAACCCCTACTCCCTTTTTTTTCTCACAGATTGCGCCTGGTTGTCATTCTCTAGAGCTGCAGGGCACTGTAGCACACATTTGTAGTCCCAGCCCTTTGGGAGACTGAGGCAGGAGGATTGCAAGTTTGAGGCCAGCCTCAGCAATTTAGTGAGGTCTTGTCTCAAAATAAAAAATAGATTGGGGACATAGCCCAGTAGAAGAACACTTGCCTAGCATGTGCAAGGTATTGGTTTCAATCCCCAGGACTGGGGAGAAAAGAATTGTCTAGGGCCAAAATGTACACAAATGGTCAAGGTTAGTTATTTTTTTAAAGATTTATTTAGTTGTAGATGGACACAATATCTTTATTCATTTTGTGATGCTGAGGATCAAACCCAGGGCCTCACATGTGCAAGGCAGGTGCTCTACCACTAAGCTACAGCCCCAGCCTTTAAGAATATTTTTTGTGCTGTAGATTGAACCCAGGGCCTTGTGTGCTAGGCAACACAGTCTTAACTGAGCTATATCCCTGGCCCGCCAGGATTTCATTTTGATGCTGAACGTTGGGAAAGTAGGCTAAAGATAGATGTTTGGTTAGGGTTAAGGTACCTATGCTATAAAATAATTGTGTTGAGGATAAAAGGTTAATGTCTTTAAGAACTGAAGTAAGGGACATAGAAGAGTTTATCCAGTCACACTATCTAAACTCTATATCCAGAGAACAGTCAAAAATGACTCTGAAGGGCCATAAGAAGGTCATCTCTTAAGTAGTGATGCTTTTCAGTTGGTGGTTCCGTGTGCTTTTGATTTCCTAGTCCTTTTCAATTTACCCACAAAGGCAAACCTTACCCAAGAATATGACTGTTCTTGCAATATGGTTAGAGAGATCCCATTATTGTTTTTAAGTGATATATAGGCCATTAGCATATAGCTGACTCAAGGTGACTTTAGATTTAGACTTGTTAGCATCTGGGGTACAGAGGCCAGGGAATCTACTCTTRGTAGCCAGGAATCTGTTGTCCCCTAGATATTGCAAATCTGCCTACAGTGAGTTTTGGGAGGTCTACATATAGCTACTGTTCACCAAGGTCTTAGCTTTTAGGAATAGGAAGAATGGGTAGGAAGGACCTCAGACTATCACATCACTGAGAAATTTCTGGTCCTGCTAATAGAGTTTCCAACGGCTATATGTTAGAAGAAGTGGCCTATAGTACTTTTTCCTTTTGTCATTGGTAGTAGTATGGTATCAGTGTGACACTAGTTCCAAAGGCACTCAGTTACCTGTAGATTGTTCCCTTGAAAAGAGATGTGGGTGTTATACAGCTCTGTTCAAGCAGATTACTTTCCCCATGAGTGTTAATGATTCCTAAGAGGAATCATTAGGAGAAACATGGGACTAATTACAAACCCTATTGCTGCAGTTTGTCTTGGGGCTATAAATACTAGATTCCTTTCATCTTTTTATCACAATGATAGGTCTTGGTTGCTTACCTAGTGGTGGAAACCAAATTTTCATTACTGAAGTGTTTGGAGCCTTTGATTCACACCCTTCTCTTGCTACACAAGAGCTTTACGTTATAGCTGTGGGAGGAAGAAGCAAGCTGTATCTGTGGTGAGCAGAATAATCATCCTCCAAAGATGTCCATTTCCTAACTCTTGGGACCTGTGAATATGTTGCCTGAAGTGGCAAAAGAGACTTCACAGACTTGGATGAAGTTGAGGGCTTTGAGATGGGGAAATAAGCCTGGATTTTCAAATTGGGCCTAATTCTAATCTCATGTGTTTTTAAAAGCAGAAAACCTTTCCTATCTGTGGTAACTTGTTGGTTCTGGAATGTTTGAAACTGTCAACAACTGGATAGTTATGTAGTTTTTAAGGGTGTCCCTCAGGTGGTACCCAGCAAGAAAGTAGAATTCTCAGTCCTATGCTGAGTGGAATTGTGCTGCTAACTCCTGAAGGACTAGGAAACAGACTCCATTCTAGAGCCTTCAGAAAGGGATGTAACTTTAATTTAGCCCCTAAGGTATATTCAGCTTCTCTCCTATAGAACTGTAAATTAGTAAATTAATGTTACTTGGAGCCGCTAAATTTGTGGTAATTGGTATCAACAGCAACAGGGAACTGATAGCACCTAAGTAGATTACCTGGCTGCTTCTTACTTCTATTGTAGTTATTTCTGTTAACCAGTTACCCTGTCAAGATGGTAGCATGTGATGGCATGTGCCTGTAATCCCAGCAGCTCGAGAGGCTGAGGCAGGAGGATCACAAATTTAAAGCCAGCTTCAGCAAAAGCAAGGTGCTAAGCAATTGAGTGAGACCCAGTCTCTAAATAAAATACACAAGATCCTCCTGCCTCAGCTTCCTGACCCCAGCAACCTGGGATTACTGACGTGTCAACTCATGACCACTTATTTTTCCCTGTATTGTTTTAAAGCAAAACCCAGCTTTTGTATGATTTCATCTGTAAATATTTTGTATGCATCTTTACAAGATATCACACCATTGTACTGCAGTTTGCATAGGAAAGGCAGCATGCCTGGGGTCTCTTAAAAGGGCACTAATCCCATCCATGAAGGCAAAGTCCTGATGACCTAAACAACTTCCCCAGAGGCCCCATCTCTTAGTACCATCACTTTGGTGTTAGGATTTTAATGTGTGAATGCGAGGGGGCATAGCTATTCAGACATAGCAATGCTTGGTTCTTTTTATTTACTGTTTTTCAAAGTAATGAGTTCATTTATTAGCAACCTTCAAAATTAATCAGGTTTTAAGAATTATAACCCTGGGCTTATGGATTTAAATGTATTTGGTATTTTCTAGTCTGTTCTCTTCCTTACCTTATAAGGAATGATTTGTATAAATTTTATGACTTATTTAAAAAATAAGTATATAAATTTTTTTCCCCACTTTTTTTGGTGCTTTATAGTTATACATAATAGTGGGATTTGTTGTTACAAGCTCTTAAACATTGAACCCAGTCTATACTCCTTTGTTTGAGAATGTTAATCCCTTACTTTTCCCCAGTTCATAGGTTAGCTTTGTAGTGTTCTTCTGATTTGTTGATGATAAACATGGAGGGAACTGCCACATACCAAGATGTGGAGCCAGATGTCTTAAGGTGGTTGGAAAGTAGAAGTATAGGAAAATACCTTTGGCCAATGACTCTGAGGTGTAAGGTTGCAGTGCTAGGCTTACTCCCCTGTCACCACCCCTGAATGTTGTTATGGTGGGCAAAGGGTTGAATGATGTAATGGGAATGGAATTTCATGTAATCAAAGTATGTTTGTTAAAGAATGGATACTTTGGACATGTCCTTTTGTACATGGTATTCAGCAGCTTTTAACACAGCAACTTAATATCCTGAAATTTTGTAAGGCAGAGTGGTCTCTTATCTGCATTATCCTAAGGCTCCAAAAGGTTGTGCTAGGGCTATCAGAAACATACACTAATCAAATCAAACAGTGAAAAAAGTTGTTCAGTAAATGTTTCATTCAAATCACTCTGAGATCATTCTCTCCACACACACACACACACACACACACACACACACACACACACAGGAGACAGGGTCTTGCTATGTTCCCTAGGCTGGCCTCAATCTTCTGGCTGAAGTGATCTTCCTGCCTCAGCTCCATGGGTAGCTGGGACTATCGGCAACCACTACTGTGCAACCCTTCTTAAGCTGAAGCTTGCAAGCTCATGCTCTCTGCCCTCTTCCTCTCTCTCTCTGCCCTCTTCCTTTTCTTTCTTTCCTCTTTCTGCTCTCTTTCTTTCTCTCTGCTCTCTTCCTCTCCCTCTCTGCCCTCCTCCTCTCTTCTCTTTGCTCTCTGCCTCTTCTTTTCTTCTCCTTTGGGCAGCCTCTCAATAAAATCTCTTGGTTGAATCTCTGCCTCCGGTGAGTCACTCGCCTTTCACTCATTGACCTGGTAAAACCCTATAGATTGCACTGCATTCCAGGATTCTCCCATCAAATTGCTTTCCTACCCTCTCTCTCCTTTCCAAGGGTCATGCATGCATTGCAGTCCGATGGTTTTCTCTGTCTTTGCTCTTCCATTCCCTGTTTTCCCTCATTTATGTTTCACTTAATAAATCTTTTTTTTTTTTTTTTCCAGTGCTGAGGATCAAACCCAGAGCCACATGCAAGCCAGGCAAGAGCTGTAATAAGTTTCAAACACCCAATCCTTTCTTGGCTTTTGATTTTTTTTTTTTTTTTTTTTAGTTGTAAGTGGATATTTTATTTATTTATATGCGGTGCTGAGGATGAACCCAGGCCTGTGGGGAGCCTCTCTGAATGACCACACCTTCCAGTCTTGATGCACCAGGCTCTGACCAACCACTGCATTCATTGTGGCTTGGGCAGTGACCTCCTTGGATATCAAAGCCAATCTTCTGAGTAGGCATACCCCTGGGGTTGAGCTACACTCACTTATTCCTTCGTAATCCTTTCCCTTTGCCCTGTTTGGGATAGAATATTCCATGGAAACTCCCTTTGTGTGTCCCCTTCTCTTGCTCTGCCTTTGGGCAAGGCCTTCCTAGATGTCAGTCAACCTGCTGACAGAAGACATCACAAAGCTAGACTCAACCTCCTGAAACTTGACCCTTTGCCTCATTTGAATGACTTCTTCCCAATGAAAGGGTTCAGTACGTGTGTGTTCCCTCCCTCCCTCCCTCTCTCCACGGACTCCTAAGGTCAGAGGAGCCATCATAAGACCCAAAGAAAAAGGCATTTCTCTGTCTCTGCGTGATGATTTCGTGCAGGCCAGTTCACCTGGAGTGACCCTGAGTGTTTAGTTGTGGAATGTGACACAGGACCTCACACATGCCAGTCAAGTGCTCTACCGTTGAGCCACAACTCTATCCCTAGCCTCTGATTCTTGAAGAACCTAGATTTACATTTGCAGTGTTTCAGAATGTTATCTCGT